TCAAACCTATCAACTAGCCAATCACTAAGCTAGGAAAGTAAAGCACACACCAAGATTGCAATGTAAATGCAGAAGCTAAAGAGTAAGGTAGAGATATGCAAACTCCCGTCGACGACTCTGGTATTTTTACCGAGGTATCGAGAAGCGCGCAAGCTTCCCCCTAGTCCTCGTTCGAGCCCCTCACAAGGAATCCCTCGCAAGGGCCAAGCTTCCGGTTGGGTAACTCCGTGGATAGCTCCGGGCCTTCCCCACGCGCAAGCGGGTCTCCGGTTAAGCCACTCGTGGCAAAGCCTCTCCGGACCGCTCCCCGCCGCCTTTACTATCAAGCTTCTCGGTCAAACACCACGGGCCATGTTCCTCCCAGACACGGTGGGTGGCGGCCACACCACAAACACGGTTGGTGTGATCTCACAAGACTACAAGCCCCTCCGATGTACAACAATGGTGCGCGCAAGCACTGAGTGGTAAGAGGTATGCAAACCTCAATAAACACTAGGCTTAAACCTAGAGCAAGGGCATAAGCGGTGGTCTAATCAACCTAAGCACTTCACAAAGCACCTACGCTAATCACCTAATGAATCACTAAGCACTACGCATATGGAGATCACTAAAATGGTGTATCAACACTCTTGGTATGTTTCCTCAACTCTTCACATCTCAAATGGCCGGTTGGGGGGTCTATTTATAATCCCCACCGAGAAAGTAGCCGTTGGGGGTGAAACCTAGCTTTCTGCTACTGACCGGACGCTGCTGTCGTCCTGACCAGTCATGTTCGGTCATCCTGACCATTAGAACGCGCGCGTTGATCGGACTCTGGGCCGAGTCCGGTCGTGCTGACGCCGCTCTAGAACCTCTCTGGACTCGATCGGACGCTGTACTCTATGCGTCCGGTCGTCCAGTGCCGCTGCATCCGGTCACGCTGAAAACATTGCCGTGATGAAGAACAATGTCATCAAGGCGTCCAATCCACATTCTTGCCGACGTCTTCTTTGTTGTCGAGCAACTGATCGGACGTGTTCGGTCCCTATAAGGGCCGCGTCCGATCACCTCTGCAGAGCTCATTTCTTCGCGATTTTGCGTCGGCTTAGTTCCCATCTTCGTGCTTGGACTATGATTGATATCTTGGGTCTTCTCTTGTGCTTCTAGGGTCTTGCTTATGGTGTTGATCGTGGGATCATCATGTCGCCTTTGTCCAAGTCATGTTTTGCACCCTATTGAACTACAAAATAATTACTTGCAAATTCATTAGTCCAATTTGATTGTGTTGGTCATCAAACACCAAAATCCAAAGTAAATGGCCTAGGGTCCATTTTCCTTACATCTAGGATGGTCTGAACTCCTCGGAATGTTTTCTCAACCTTAATCGCATAGTCTGAGGTTTCACGAACAATCCGTTCACTCACCATACAATTCGATAAATCCTAGACATTGCCTGGGTACCTATACTACAACACTTATGTTGTATATACTCAATACTATGTCATATGCTTTCATGCAAAATCATACTAGTGTTTAAGCATGTTATACCAAGCATAAGCATAGCTTTTAGTCATCCATGTTCATGCATCATATAGGAGAGGAAGTACACAAGGTGAACCCGGAGAACGATGCATGCACCCGAGCCTGAGTTTGCAACACCACCCGTTGAACCCCAAGGCAGGATCCTAGGTATATTCTCTCTTTTTGCAAATGCATTTAATCTGAGTATGTTAGTATTGCATCTATGTTACAAACTTACAATAAGACTAGAGACCCAATTTACCCATTTGAGCTTAACACCTTGCGGATTGCTTCATCTACCTTATACCATGCTTGTTTTTTGTTGCTTATCAATATCACGTAACTCAAGCTTAGCGTGCTTAGCAACTATAGAAATCAAGTTAGTGATGGGTTTCTCACTTCTTGTGCATTATAGGAATTGTTTGTATACTAAACCACACAACATGGAGAAATAGTCTAAAACTTGACCACATTATGAGAACTTGATTTGAGGACCAGCGAGGGGTTGGACCATAGCAAGACAGGAAGTTCTCGGATGGTGTAGCTCACTAAGATCTATTAAGAAGCGTGTATCCATGGTAGTGATTGAAACGTAACTCGTACACACCACTTGCCATGAATGGGTGTGGTAAGCCTAGTACTTTTTTATGACTAGATATCCCGTGGATTTGGCATGAGTTGTAGTGTGGGGTAATTAGAGAGCTAGTATCTCAACTCACTCTCTAACCAACCGTGGGCGGTTTGGCTGAACTTGGGAAAGGTTGAGGCATGAGTCAACCCTTATGTACTGACGGGTTGTATGGCTGTCACCGTTGTCTTTGGTGGGGTGAACATGTACCCCTCTGTAGAGTCTTAATTTTATATTATGTTCCTTTTCTAGATCTGGACTAGTAATGATCGGAAGGACTTGTGGAGGGGATCGAGTTCCACTCTTGCCTATTGCTTACATATATATGTCAACCATGCTATGAATCCCTAGTTGACTAGACCATTTTACTTATATGCACAAAATGGTTTCTTGCAAAACCAACTGCGTTCTTAAATGCATGGTCCTTGCTATTAGTTGGGTACGACTTGTTGAGTACAACTGTGTACTCATGATTCTATTTATTATGTTCTACAGGTGAGGTAGCTCTCACTCATGGATTTTTCTATGCACCTGAGTCCTCTATGGACTAGGAGTGGTAGACACTGCACTGTGAGGCGTATGTCCATGGTGAGATGGCACAACCATGGGCATGTCCCGAAAAAACTATGTTGTTTATGTTGGAGACTTTCGTGCTAGACTCTGAGATGTATGCTTGTGTCATGCCTAAGTGATGAACAATGAGTTGTAAACTTAAATATTTCTTTTAAATGTGATGTAAATTTGATGTGAAGCATATGGTGTAATCTACTTGCAATGATTATGGATGAAGGTCGGACAGCCGTGTATTATATGGGTAGCATACAGGACGACCGTACGGGTCGAGGCTTAGGATAATTAAGTGTGGTCGATATGGAAGACAACTTAGTCTAATCACCTGCTCAAACAGGAGGTTGTCCTAACAAGATCATAATAATAATGCAACCAATAGATTGTTGTAATAATCCTATAATCCATGTCATACCTACTAATACGAGATTATAGTTGGAAATACAATAATCTAGCACTTATTAATGACTACCTAGCCTATATATAATCTAGCTAGGAATTCAAACAAGGTAGACTAATATAATCTATAGTTAAGATTATAATAATCAAATAGCGATCCAAGCGGACTATGCTAAATCTATCTCATATATGGCTAATGCTCTGTCCAGGACGTCTATCCGTCCAGACGGCCTGTTGGTGGGCCACGATGCCTCACGAGGCCACGAGGTTCTCTAATCCGCTCCCCTTCAGCACTTTGCAATTTCTTTAAAAAATTGCCGCAGCGCGCGACTACTCCGTGATCGTGTGCTCCGCTACGCCTCTCGCCACCTTCCTCTCTCGCCACCACACCCGGCCACATCCCGCTGCTCCGCACCCGAGCCATGCCCCGATCCACTTCGCCCGTCGCAGAAGGAGAGGTAGGGGAGGCCTACGCGCCCCCATCCAAAGCACACCCATCGGTAGTAGGAAGGGGAGGCCTTCGCTGCACTGGGGTGTACGCTCAACCGTTGCTCTCGACGTCCCCCAGACCCGAGCTTGCTGGTTACCGGAGTTTCCCACCAAGTAGGTTGCGATCGCCGGTGGCGCTGTGTTTCTAGTGTTTTAGGCGTTCCAGACTTATGTTTCAAATGTGTCAGCTGAATGTTGCAAATAGATGTTGGATGTTGCATATGTTGCAAGACTATGTTTTAAGTGTTTCAGGTGTTTCAGACGTACGAAGTATGTTTTGAGTGTTTCATCTCGATGTTGCATATGTTACTATGGCTCCATATCCATGTTTGAAGTGTATGTTTCAAGTTTTTCATATGTTTTAGACACATGTTGCAAATGTTTCATCTGAATGTTGTAAAAGTAGATCTCGATGTTGCATACGTTGCTATGACTATACACGCATGTTTCAAGCGCTTGTTTTAAGTGTTTCATCTGTATCAGATGTATGTTGCAAGTGTTTCATCTGGATATTTTAAAAGTAGATCTGGGAGAGCACATGTTTCATCTGCCGCAAACCGCCCTGCTGCTGCTGGGGGTGCCGCCGTGGGTCACCCTGAGGCCGGCAGATGCCTTCGCGGCATGCATCCGCAAGCAGGGCAGGTGACTGGGACCCACGTGGGGCCTGGGGATGGGCGCGGGACGTGGGATGGGCTGCTGGAGCACGTGATAGGCACAGTGTGGCATGCGGACGCAGGGGCACTGACGCTAGATGGGATGTGGAGTCGGGTCGTGGGATGCAGTGTGGGATAACACGTGGGAGCTACGCCTGGACGCGCCGTCAATCCGGACGTCCGAGCGCTAGCCCTTCGGATCTCATATATACTAACATGAACCTCTCTTGAACCTCTCTCGTTCCTTTAGCACTTTAATGAAGTCGGTCTGAGCACAAATTTGAAGCCCACTTTGAGAGCAATTGATATCAGTATTCAAGTTTCTGAGTGAGCTTTGGGCCGTGTTTTTAGTCTAAGGGAAAGATTTTTTTTTTCTCATTGAACGAGAGAGAGAGGGAGAGAGAGAATAACCTTGACGTTATATTTAATAAGGTACACAAAATTCTGTATAAGAAATCTCTGTGAACAGGTCATTGGGCTTGGCGGTACGGGCCGGGGTTAGATCGATGTGTACGTATACGATTGAGATAGAGACGATCTCGGTCGTCTGTTGAACGGTGCCTGAACCGGATACGCATGATTTGCGTCGATCGTGTGCAACCAGATGGATTCCGATCCTTTATGCTCTGTCATCAAAATTACATAAGCAAATCCTCCTCCTGGTCTGCAGCCTGTTCAATCTGGATTTGCATTGCCGGCAACCAACAACCACCGCCCGTAAGCCAAACAAACAGCCGGCTAGTTCCCGCGCGCTCGAGCCTGTCATGGCGGCCACCTCCGCCGTTGTTCTGTCCGCCGCCGCCCGCCGGATCTCACGCTCGGCTGCGGTGGCCAGCTCTGGCGGCGGCGCTCATCTCCTGTCCGCCGCCACCCGCCGGATGTCGTCGTCGTGCTCGGCGTCCTCGTCCTCCATCATCACGCTCGAGGTGACGGGGCACCACAACCTGACCATCAGCGGGTACGCGGCGACGAGGAAGGCCCCCGTGGAGTGGATCGCGTCGTCGCAGGCGTTCGACGCGGCGGGCTACCGCTGGCGCATCAAGTACGACCCCAACGGCAACAGCTGGAACGAGTCCAACGAGTGCATTTCCATCTTCGTGGAGCTCGCCGACGACATCAAGGGCCCGCGCCAGGAGGTCAAGGACCCCGTCCAGTTCAAGCTCAGCCTGCTGGACCGCGCGGGGAACCCGTCGCCCAAGTACTGCCGCTCCAACGACGCCAGCTTCTTCGTCGACGGGCAGGCGCGGTTCCAGGACTTCATCCGGTGGAAGGACCTCGAGGAGTCCGGGTGCCTCAAGGACGACAGCTTCATGGTCCGCTGCGACATCACCGTCATCAAGAAGTGGGCCGAGGACGACGACAACGTCAGCGTCGACAGCGCGTCGTCCCGCGTCGTCGTGCCGCCGTCCGACCTGCACAGGCACCTCTACGACATGCTGTGGAAGAAGCAGGGCGTGGACGTCGCGATCGACGTATCCGGGGAGACGTTCGAGGCGCGCGGGTGGCTGCTGGCGGCGCGGTCCCCGGCCTTCGAGGCGGAGCTGCTCGCCGCGCCCAAGGAGAAGGCGCCCGGCGGCGGGGCCGTCGCCGTCCGTCGCCGCGTGGAGATCGGTGGCATGGAGCCCAGGGTGTTCAAGGCGCTGCTCCACTTCATGTACACTGACGCGCTGCCGCCGTCCATGATGGAGGAGGAGGAGGAGAAGCATGGCGCCGTGGCGATGGCCCGGGATCTGCTCGCGGCGGCGCACCGGTACAAGCTCGAGAGGCTCAAGCTCCTGTGCGAGGAGATGCTGTGCCGGTGCATCGACGTGGACACGGTGGCTGGGACCATAGCGGTGGCGGAGCAGCATGGCTGCGGCGCTCTCGAGGCAGCGTGCGCCGAATTCCTCGCGCGTCCGGGGAACCTGAAAGCCGTCATGGAGACGGAAGGGTACGAGAAGATAAAAGCCAACCCCACCATGATGGAGCTTATCATGAAGCAATTGGTCTAGCGAACAAACATAGTAGGAGTAAATCAGAATACCAAGCATTACTAGCTATTGTAATTTTTTGGCTGCAACTGTAGCTACTTTTGGCAAAATTGGAATACTAATGTTATTAGTTAAAGTTAATGGTTTATATATATATATATATATATATATATATATATATATATATATATATATATATATATATATATATATATATATATATATATATATATATATATATATATGGGTACATGTATACGTATGTGCAATCATGCATACATGCCCAAGTGAAGTCAATGCGTTGACAACCGTTTTGGGCTGTTTTTTTTTTTTTTGGCAAACCCTGATTTCTAATGGAATAACACCACACCCATACTCTATAAAATGTAAAGGGTATCCTCAATCGGTCAAAATCACATCTATTTTTCTTATGCATCTCAAACTCTAGCTTCTCTAATCACATATATCATGCTGTTCTGCAAGCTTATCGATGGAGTTTGCAGGGACGTTCAAGGTGGCATGCTAACCCTGGAGCAAGCTTATCGATGGAGTTTGCGGGGACGTCCTAGGTGCATGCTAACCGTAGAGAAAGCTCGATGGAGTTTACGGGGATGTTCTAGGTGGCATGCTAACCTAGAGGCTAGAGCAACCCTGAGTTACCATGGGTGTGTTTGTCCAATCCGGTTTCATCGAGTAAATCATGAGTTGATCCATTGTGTGATTCGAGCGCCCTAACTTATTAGTTGCGAGACCTTAACTGCGTCAACACACTTTTTAGCGACTTTGTTAGGGGAAGAGATCACCCGCCACCATGTATGGGAGCAAAGATGATGGTACAATCGAACCCTCATATGAGTACCTTCGTAACATGATGCTAGAGGAGAAGAGAAAGTCGGTGAAGTTGCCCTCACATTGCATGGTTCACCATAGATTGGCGTGTAGTTGTCACGACTATCAAGGAGTTTGACCTCACCTCGACATCTGTACCATCCACATCTAAGGTAAAATCTGATTTAAGTGCATCTACTCCTAGTGCCGATAGCTTCTCGTTTTACAAAAACCTTAGTGGAAGTTGCAAACAATTGCTTTGATGATAAGATGGACGAGAAAGCCCTAAATCTTATTCTACTGCTTTACCTCACGATGATGAATCTAAAAGTGCGTTTCCTAGGGTTTTGAGTCCTCCGGTGGGCACCGTCTTCATCTTGTAGCAGAGGGCTAACAATGTCCCAACTGCCTCTGCTGTCTGGAGGTGACCATCAAGTGTTGTCTGTCGTCGTTGTGCCTCCGTCGGGTTTGACTTCTCATGGCATCCATCACACGCGAGGATCTTGCCCGCAAGCAGAGGACAGCTGCCATGCGAGCCCAAAGCCGCCCGCGTAACGGGCGCGTGCATTGTCGTGTTGAGTCATGCCTCGGGCGTGATCCTACGCCGGGAGTGGCCGACACTGCCTCGCGGGAGCGAGGAAATAGAGCTCTGGCTAGGTCTAGCGCCCTATTGCTCTGTCTGCGTGTCAGGCTCCAATCGCCTGATAGATTCTAGAGTATATTCTCTGTGTTGGTCGGGAGTGGAAACCTAGCCCACAAGCAAGGCCAAAGCTTACGTTGAGGCCCTTGCTCAACTATTGTTTCCCAAGGTCGGGAGCTACTCGGATCTGGTGAAGCCCTAGAGCCCCTCCGTATGGGTGGCTCGAGCAAGGATTTAGTCCCTTGGCTCGTTCATCAGGCACCTAGACCTTCTCCCAAAACAGGCTCTTTGTGGCCCACTAAACCATTCGTTGATGGGCCAGAGGGTGCACGCAAGTGCACCTGATGAGCATAGCCCTCAAGCCCTGGCTGATTGGAGTCATGTGGTTAATCTGACTGTCATGGTGCTAATCCGAGAGTTTAATCTAACCCTTTGTTTGATACTCAACAGAGCCCATGATTGTACAAATACTAGTGTTCTAATTCAAGGTGACTTAATTGTAATATATACATTATTGATTGAATCATGCTCTATAATTGTAGTATAATCTTAATGGCTTTGATATATGTGTGATTTATTATAATAATATCAAATGTAAAAAATATTAGACACTAACCTCTATCTAAATGTATATATTAATAAAATATATGAACAACAATGGGAAATGATGGCTATTGACAAGTTGAAGGCACTAAACCGGTAGTGAGTACAATAAACTCACTAACAGGTACAACCCTCACTTGGGACTTGGGAGTGACATTAATCCAATCACTTTCGGGTATAGTGGGGGTATATGACCTAGCAGTGACGTTCATCCTATCACTGTTAGTTATGATTCTAGGCTCGGCAGTGATAGCCAAGCCCTATAACTATTGATTGCCCTCTGCCGGCTCTGATTCCCCCTGCGAAGTGTGGCATATATAGATGTGGCAGTGATCCATGGATCTGACTTAGGCCCCGTTTGGCAGGGCTTCTCCATCGGCTTCAGGAGCCGTTTGAAGCCGTTTTCTACCAAACGGAGTAAAGTAAAATAGCTTCACTTGTGAAGCCACTAAAAATATGCTCTCACAGTGATTTGGGGTGGGATGGAGCAAAAAAAAAGTGGTTTCTCCCGACTCCTCCTGCAGGCCCCTAAAAACATGCTCTCACAGGAAAGCCATTTTGCCAAACGATTTACCAAAACCGCTTCAGCTCCACCGGTGGAACTGTTCGTGGAGCTGAAGCAAAAAAAAAAAATGGCTTCACTAGTGAAGTGAAGCTCTGCCAAACGAAGCCTTAGTATATGTTTAGAGTACTTGGAACTCTTACAAGAAAGATAAATAAATTCAATCCGCCATGTATTTGTTCTATATAAGTCAGGATTATGCAAATGCAAGGTTCATATAAACGTATGTGTTTTTCTATTTCTTGTTTTTCTCTATTTGGCTCCCTGGTTGCACGTACGGATGAATAAATATTTCCATAACCTGAATTCCCGCCGTATGTATATGCTTAATAAAAACGGCAATTGTTCATATCAATATTTCCCTATTTTGATGCTTTTTTATTAACATTTTAACAATTGCCATAGAAATATTAATGTTCATTGTTAATATTACTCATTGTTTTTTTAATCTAATAAATCAAGCATATTAATTGTATTGTACAACTTGAGATAATAACAACAATCGGTATCCGTAATTCCGTATAATAGGAGATCGCTGTGAACGAACTTGTTGATCCGGTTGTTAGATCTAGTGCACACAAGATTGAGAGATGATCCTATTTGTTGATTAGGGGTGCCCCGTGCCCTAACTAACCGGCCCTAACTAACCGGCCATGCGTGATTTTGCGTCGCTCGTGTGCAAACAGACCCAATCCCTAAGCCCAAGCTTTTCATTTATATATAAGCAAAGCAAAATCGTCCTCCTGGCCTCTGCTCTGCTCCATCTCTCCATCTGCATTGCCGCCAGCAACCAACCACCGCCGCGCAGAAGCTTTCGTTCCAAAAGCCATGGCGTCCGCCGCTTCGGCCTTCGCCGCCCGCCGGATCGCCTTGCTGTCCGGCGCCCACCGGATCTCGCGCTCCTCCATCGTCACGCGCGAAGTGACGGGGCAACACAACCTCACCATCAGCGGCTACGCGGCGACAAGGAAAGTCCCGATAGACTGGACCGCGACGTCGCCGGCGTTCGACGCGGCGGGCTACCGCTGGCGGATCAAGTACGACCCCAACGGAAACAGCTGGAACGACTCCATTTCCCTCTTCCTCGAGCTCGCCGACGACGACGATGGTGCCGGCGACGGCCGTCAGCAGCAGCAAGAAACCGAGCCCGTCCAGTTCGGGTTCAGCCTGCTCGACCAGGCCGGGAACCCGGTTCCCGAGCACACCCGCTGGTTCTGGGAGGTGGGCTACTTCAACGGAGCGTCGAGGAGCAAGGGCTTCCAGCGGTTCATCAGCTGGAGAGACCTGGAGGAGTCCGGGTGCGTCAAGGACGACAGCTTCACCGTCCGGTGCGACATCACCGTCGTCAAGAAGTTTGCTGCTGAAGCTGAGAGCGCCGCCGCTCTGGCGGCGCGCGTCGCCGTGCCGCCGTCCGACCTGCACGAGGACCTCGGCGACCTGTTGTGGAAGAAGAAGCAGGGCATGGACGTCGTGATCGACGTCGGCGGGGAGACGTTCGAGGCGCACGGGTGGCTGCTGGCGGCGCGGTCCCCGGTCTTCGAGGCCGAGCTCCTCGCCGCGCCCAAGGAGAAGGCGTCCGGCGGGGTCGTCCGTCGCCGCGTGGAGATCGGTGGCGTGGAGCCCAAGGTGTTCAAGGCGCTGCTCCACTTCATGTACACCGACGAGCTGCCGTCCAAGATCGAGGAGGAGGGGCAGGAGGAGCAGCAGGGCGCCGTGGAGGTCGCAATGGCGCAGGGGTTGCTCGCGGCGGCGCACCGGTACAAGCTCGAGAGACTCAAGCTCATCTGCGAGGAGATGCTGTGCCAGCGTATCGACCTGGACACGGTGGCCGGATCCTTGGCTGTCGCGGAGCAGCACAGCTGCGATGCTCTCAAGGCCGCTTGCGTGGAATTTCTTTCGCTTCCGGGGAACCTCAAGGCCGCCATGGAGACCCAAGGGTACCAGAAGATTAAAGCCAACTGCCCAGTTATGATTGAGCTTATCCTGAAGCAATTATTGGTCTAGTGAAGGAACGCAAATCAAATATTAGAGTTATGGTAGTTTTTATTTAAAAAAATATGCTGCATGAGTATACTTACTAGATTACTAGTTGTGGCTACCATTTAGCAACAATATATTGGAAGAATATTAGGTCATGTTTAAGTTTAGTTGTCTAAAATTAGGGGCTAAATTTAGAGTACCGCATATTTGTGTGATCTAATAAAGTAATGGTCGTTTTTGTGTGGTTGACTAAACTTGAGATTGACATGTTAAGAGCCTAAAGAGCAACTATGATCTAATTACTATAGTCTAGTTGGGATTGAAACATCGAATTGCTCTTTCCTATACCCTACATTTTAAATTATAAAATATTTTAGCTTTTCTAGATACATCGTGCTATTTATCTTG